GAAAGTGAGGTAGACTTTCAGTTCAATTATCACATCATTCCATAGCTTTGTTGAACTAAATACCGGTCTTTAGAGCTGAGCTGGATCATAGGAGTCCAATTATAAAGTTTGAAAAAACATACTGTACATTCATAAATTCTCTGTCAGAATTCATCAACTTGAAAATTTCCCTAGTCTGTGAAATTATAGATTTAATAATAGCATGAAACGTTTAACTCTTTTTGGCAAAAAGAAAACCAGAACATTGAAATTTATTAATCAAATCCGCATGATTTAGTAAATATGGTAGTTTGAACTCAAATACACTTTGAAACAGTATTTAATCCTTGAAACCATTACTTTTTTTTTTACTTCTATACATTAGTTTCATCAAAGTGAACAGCTAGATAAATACTTCTTGAATTACCATGAATATGAATTTGTATAGAAAGTGATTCCCCAGTAGAAAGGAAATCCACAAAAGAAATAGAATATTATTTTGGCCAGTTTAAATACAACATCTTCATGTGTATGAAATATCATATATATTATCTATCAAATTATTTATAATTTTCCCAAATTATTAATTATTTTGGGCAACATACAATTGAAAACAATATCCAATACAAAAAACACAACTCTACCAAAAAACCCAAACCAAACAAACCAGATAATAGTTCAAGGATTAAAATATCCAATAAAATGATAAAATTGCCACAAAGCACTTACTAACCCCTGGAGAAAGAGTCCCTTCTTCAAACAGATTTAAATAACAACAGAGGTCAGCCTCCCCATCAGCATCAATTGGAAATGTTCACACAAAAAAGAGAAGAATAACTGTAGTATTGTGCTGTCCTTTCCCAATCACTGGAAGAAGTCTAGAAGACTACCATGATCAATGATATTGAAAGATACTGACAGCTCAAAGAAGACTAGAAATGTTCTGCCATCCTATCGTGGTTCCCCCAGAGATCATCAACCAGCATGATCAGTACTGTCTTCATATGCTCTGTAAGGATCCAAATAATCTGCTTTATCCAGGACCCTCTGAAGAAGCTATCTTGGTATAAAAGGAAAAATTGAAGAATGGACAAACATTGTCCATCACTGTTGGGTCCAATGATTGTTTCTTACAGAGGCAGCACCACCTCCTCATTCAGCATTATGAAACAGCCTCTCTCCTGAGGTTTGGCGACCCCTAACTGTCCTGTCCTTCTGGAAGGCTATGATGGCATTGCTTTCTTCTTTAAGGTCCTGGATCAAAATATTATAATAATAGAGTGGTTATGAGATTGAATTTGTTATGCACTGCTTAACTTATTGTATTATACTAGCCAAGGTGGCACAGTGGTTAGAGTGCAATACTGCAGGCTACTTCAGCTGACTGCTAGCTGCAGTTCAGCAGTTCAAATTTCACCAGGCTCAAGGCTGACTCAGCCTTCCATCCTTCCAAGGAGGGAAAAATGAGGACCCAGATTGTTTGGGGGCAATATGCTGACTCTGTAAACCACTTAGAGAGGGCTGTAAATGCACCATGAAGCAGTATATAAGTCTAAGTGCTATTGCTATTGCTATGATTACATTAATTATATTTATTCTGCTGGATTTATAGCAATGTTATTATATATTTTTGTTATTTACTCTTAACCTCCCAAAATTCATATGTAAGATGGATGGCCTTATGAAATAAACGAATGAATGAATGAATGAACACACGCACCATTACATGGATGCAGCTACAAGTCACCCACATTGCAGCCAGGGTGGATATAGATTTAAATGACAGATAACCAGTTTAATAGTCTTAAAAACCTGTTCACTTCTTCAGGAATTACTAAATCAAATGCCTTTGAAATACCAGGACAAAACGGTGCCTGGTCAGCTCACAGAGACTCTCTCAGTTGGAATTGAACTCAGAGTATATCTAAATGATGTTATTTCTTATAAAATAATTTTTCTGCTAGTAGTTTTTTTTTCTCAGAATAATATTTTATAAGTGTGGGATTATTCTGCCAGAGGGCAAAACTTTATTATTGGCCCAAGAGGTGAGCAGACCTGCTGTGTGTCCTGTTCTCAAGCTGAGCCAGTCGGTGTGAAGTTGTAAATCTAGCAAAGACGCAATCATAAATAAGTCCGAGTTCAAAGGAAATCGAGTTCAGAGGACAAAGCATTACTTACTGCCTGTGTCAATCCAGGATTAAAGTTTCCAAGAATGCACAGCAGGTGTGTAGCATAGGGCATGACATGCATGGTTAGCTTATACTGAAAGAGCTAGATTACAAGAAGTTGTAAGCCACTGCATGCAGGCAAGACAAACCAGCGTTATTGCTACTGAAAGAAGGGACACGCAGAAACTGGGTCTCCTACTACAACAGAGGGGCAGAGGGCAATAGAGGCACAAAAGTGCTAAGGCATAGTTCTTCTCAGTGACACATCAATCAGTGGAATCCTTTTGTTAGCTGGTTAACAATAATGATGATGATGATGATGATTACCTGTTAGAAGCTCTTGAATTGTTGAGAGTTTGTTTGGTTAGTTCTTACTAGTTGAAATCATCCCCTGACTCAGCTCATCTGACATTGGTCAGTCCTGCTTTCCCATCACCAGGCTGCTACCACATGTTGCCAACTGTGCCAAACCCAGAGCATCCTCTGGGCAGTTGGTTACTCTGCCTCTACTTTCTACATCTTCGCACAGAAATATCAGTCTTCTATTAGCTAGATGTGATGTGATTCTTTCTGAAGAACTGAATGACAGTGATGATATCAGTAATAACGAATCCTAAAACTTTCTAGAGTTGTTAGGGTTGGGACTGTCTGTATATAATTTTTGGTCTTGATCCTCTTTCCTATCTTCTAAGGATGAGTCAAATCAGGAGCATGATGTATTTCTTGCCAGTTGTGGCTGTTAAGATTTTTTTTTTCCGGTATATACGTACTTGACTTAGTGGATTATTGTGATTTGGCTTATGTATGGGAGGTTGTCAGTATGACAAACAGGATCTGCATGTCCAGTTTCTGTTCACTACTCTTGTCACTCAACTGTATCCTATTCTATGCACAATTTTTGATCCCCATCCCGAATCAGTCTACTGGTTTGGTCCTAAGTGGGTGTTTAAGACTTCTGTCCTATTTATTTCTTTGTTAATGTAGCAACACTCTAAGTTAAACTGTTCCCTTACTCCATTTTTAAACTTTAAACTAACCCAAACTTCCAGCAAGCTTTTTGCTTTTAAATCCTTATAATTGTTGTCTTTTTCTTCACCTTAATCCTTCCCATGGATTCAAAGTACCCTTACCCAGATGGCTTGAAGGCCTCTTTTCACTTTAAATTCTTCTGTCCAAATGTGCTTAAAAAAGTGGAGTAGGTGAACCAAGTGTCTTTTAAATAGACTTCACCTGAGGCTATGAGTTTGCTGTATCCTTCCACTGTTCCAAGCATTATACTCAGAAGTCACCAACAGTTCCCTCCAGATAGCAATAGCAATAGCAATAGCACTTAGACTTATATACTGGTTCATAATGCTTTCCAGCCCTCTCAAAACTGTTTATAGAGTCGGCATATTGCCCGCAACAATCTGTGCCTTCATTTTACCCACCTCAGAAGGATGGAAGGCTGAGACAACCTTGAGCCGGTTAGATTTGAACTGCAGCTAGCAGTCAACTTCTACCTTCCCAGGCCCTCCAGAGCTTAAGTGTGCAAGCTCACTAAAGGGGACAGTTTAATTTGAAGCATTGCTATGTTAGTAAAATACTTCTGAAGTAATTGATTAAATAAAACACTGCTGGAAAAAAGTTTGGGTCACTAATTTTTTCTGATTCCTGTTATGTTTCTGTTTTACTTTTGCACTTTGCTGCTTCTAGTTCTTTTTCTTTATACTGCTTTACTTATATAGAAGTCTCAGAAATGTTTATAGATACACACACACACACATGCAGACATACGCACACACACATACACACACAACTTTTGTCTTGAAGACAAAAATAACTTTTGTTTGTTAATTAATTTATTATGGAATTTGCCACCCATCTCATATCCAAAGACTCATTATGGATATATACTTAGTACAGGTAGTATACTGCCTCATTTAGTTGACCTTCATAGTCACAAAGGGCATGAAAAGATAATTTTGTGATCAACTCATGCATTTATGAGCTTTGCAGATGTAAAACAAAGGGAAGCTGAAGTGAGATGGGAAGAACAACCAAGGTTACACTTGGCCACCACTTTGCTTAATGATCCAAGTTGCCAATCACAATTGTGGTTAACAGACTACTTGTTTCCCTGTCCATCTGCAGAAATCTCCCTCTTATATATAGAATTTGCTATTTTTGGCTACTTAAATGTTCTCTAATTACTGTAACATTCTTTTTGCTGTTTTGCATGGGAATAGTCCACTGGGGAGGATTTTGCTTTGCAGGATTGTATTCTTAATCTTCCCTCTAAGTGTTTTATGTTAACATAGATAATCCATTGTGCATCCCTAATAGACAAAGCTCTTCAGAAAAGAGAAAAACCTCCTGAAAAAGTTTGAATTCATATTTATATGAAGAAATCTTTCTCTGTTTTTTAATCCTAGCTGTAATTTTTTAGTGATGTTTATAGAGTCAATAAATCTCTTCCTTTCTTCTTTTTTCTTCTTTATTTTTTGTTGGTGATCTCTATAGTACAGTAGTACTACTGGTGTAAATGTTCACTCTGGAACTTTTTGCAAATCTTAAAACATTTAGAGATATGTATAAGCAATATTGGAATATGTAAACAAAAAAAAGAAAATAACTTCTTTGAAATACAAACACAGTTCTGAAAAAAAGCAGTATAGTATTCCACATAACAGTTATTGTCATCAAAAATAGCTTAGTATAGGTTCATTTTTTATTAATGTCTCATTTGCTTAAAAAAAAAACCTTGATGGTAGCACACCTGATCTAGATCTTTGATTATAAACTCATCTTGTGCCTCCAAGGAGTTTCCAAACCATTTATTTCTGTCTGTATTTATTCATTCATTTTCTGCAGTTGTGACGTGCACTTTGGAAGGTAATCATTCAGTAGATGCCAGTGAGTGCTTGAAGTGGGCAGGACCGATGCCTTCCCTTGTCCAGGATTGCTCAGTGCCTTGCAAAGATGACTGCATGTTTACTCCTTGGTCTAAATTTACAGCATGCACTTCCGATTGTGAATCAACACGGATCAGAAGAAGAACTCTCACAGGTAGTATAAATCAATCAATCAATCATCCTTAGTCCTTTTGTTTCCAAACATCCATGGAGTTAACTTTGGAGATTTGCCAAGGGCAATTAAGTGTATTCTTGTTTTGTTAAAAGTCTCATAATGATTCCCTCAGTGTTGACTTACTAACAATTTGCTCTCTTATTCTATTAAGTCTGTCAGGAGGGCTACCTCCTCCTAAGGTGTCAGGATCATAATTTCATCAGTGAATCCCTTAAGCTATTTGGATGCTGAAATTATTCCAACTACTAATAGCAATAGCACTTAGACTTATATACCATCCTATAGTGCGTTACAGCACTCTCTGGGCAATTTACAATGTCAGCATATTGCCCACAACAGTCTGGGTCCTCATTTTACCAACCTCAGAAGGATGGAAGGCTGAATCAACCTTGAACCTCATCACTATTGAATGCCAGACTGTGGGTAGAATTAGCTTGCAATACTTCATTCTAACCACTACATCATTAGGGCTCAAATAGCCAACTGGGGCAGCAATTTCTATTTCATTATAGAATTCTAGCTTCCTTTCAATGGGTTTTTTATGTATAATGTCTCAAGGGACTGATCTTTCCAACTACACATACGTAGAAAAAGTGTGGATGATGTCCCATGTTGGTTAATGAAGAAGTTCATAGGAATCAGTCCAAAAATGGATGCATGAATTGTTACAGCACTATACACAGTTAGCATAGGCATCTTACGACGAAGTTACAACCTACAAATGTGTAGGTTATAAAAAAAAATCTGGGAATTACACTTGTATGATTACTTGAAGCTCTCTCAGGGTGTTTATTATTTTATGAATTGGGTTTTTATGCTTATATTTCGGGATTCACACAGATATTCTGCTGCAGTAAATTCAGTGGGTTCCACACGTATATACCAGAGTGGAGTATTCCATTCTCCAAACTCTGAAAATATCCCTTCTGTTTGATTTCACAAATGCAGGATTTTAGATTATTGAATTTAGTAGCTGGAAACTTCAAGTGTACAATAGACCAGAACACACAGTTGTAGTTGATTGGTTAGAATGCCGACTCATGTATGAGGCAATCTACTCTATGATTGGTTGCTGTAAGTATAAAGGGGGGAGTTTCCCCCTTCCCTTTTTTTCTTCTTCTGTGTGTTCTCTATATTAATTAATTTACCTAATGATATTCCTGTGTTCCTATCTTATGTTCTGGATGATGATAAAGACTTCTCTGTGTATGTGTATGACCACAAGTTTGTGTTAGTGTCTCTGACTTCATCTGAACAGCTGCTGTGCCATTCTTGACACAGGACATCTGTTTTAATGGATAAATTGTGGCAAACTATATATGTAATTGATTATAAACTGTTGGTCTTGCTCAGCTGATTGCATAGCCACACATTTTTGCAGTAGTATATAATTATGTATTAATCTATAAATACCACCAAGATTTACGGTTTTTCTGTAATGTGAGTCACTGTGTGTATCTTCCACAGCTGAAAATCACGCCTTGTGACTAGTCACAGCTAGTCACTGATTTTGGTTTCCAAGCGTAGTGGAAGTGTCACTTAGCAACCGTCCTTTTTTTTAAGCAAAGGAATCTGCTTTCTCTCCCCGAATCCTTCCTCTGCTGGAAACAAGATGAATTAGTAGCTGTCACAGGTCTAACATATAACGGTCTAGAGAAGAGCATAAAGCCTTTTAGGAAAGATCCACTGGACAGCACCTCACAAAAAGTTTTTCATTGTAGATATTGCTACAATGAACTTTTAATGATGACAGCTGCAGTAGCTGCATCTTGTACTCAATACTGTTATATTAGATGAGGTAGAGCTGATTAGAAACAGAAAATGCTCATTTGAAGGAGGAAATCACTAGGTCAAATCCCATCTCAATCGTGATCATACTGAGTAGGTGACAGGTGAACATTTTCTCAGCTTTAATCTCAATAATGGGTATAATGATAATAGAACAACAATATTGTTATCCCTTGAAGGCATATTATGAAAACTTACATATGGTTTCTAAAATGTTCTGAAAATATTAAAGTATTATATAAATGTTTATCATAATTATAATAACTTCCTTGCCTTAATCAGTTAGACATCTGTTGTTTAACTTGTCACTCCATCTAAGGGAATTTCTTCCAGCCAAAAAGTACAATCCATCATCTTACTGTTTATGAGTGACAAGAAACTGAGCATTGCTGACTAGGGAGAAATGATTCCTGTCAATTTTGCTTTTGCTAATTCTCTAACATTTCCAGCCAATTCCAATTATATTTGGTTTAGCATTTAAGAATTGGGGAAAATCTCTATTTGTGCATCTGCATCTGCTCTTTCTTAGCATATCTTAAAGCCACACATGCTCTTTGAGGATGAGGAATCATAGGATTGAAAGCACAGCAGCGTAAAATGGCTGTGCAGTCCCCTGGGAGTGGGCGGCATACAAATTTTATTAAAGTTACAAAGTTACAAAGTATAGAATAGAATAGAATTTTATTATTTGTATGCCGCCCTTCTCCGGGAGGACTCAGGGCGGCGAACAATTCAAGGGGGAAAAAGGGGAACATAAAAAATGAAATACAATAATAAAAGTAAGCAACAGTCGCACAACTATACATGTCGAGAGGGGAGGGAACTCATCTCCCCCAGGCCTGCCAGCAAAGCCAGGTTTTGACGGCTTTTCGGAAGGCCTGGAGAGAGGTGAGGGTCCGAATCCCTGCGGGGAGTTCATTGCTATTGTTATTGCAACATTGCACATTGGGAAACGAACAGCCCCAAACTGTGG